TAATGGAATATTATTTAGTAATAGAAAGGAACAAAATGCCCCTGCACTTAACAACACGGATGAACCTCAGGCTAAGGCTGAGTAAAAGAAGGTGGGCACAAACCAGTGCATGCTGCGAGGTTCTGTGTATATGAGATTCTAGAACGGGGGGGCAGGAGGGGAGGGGGAGAGAAATCAGAATGGATACGCCTGGGGGCAGGGTAGTCATTTTGGAGAGGGCACGGGTGACTTTGGAGTTGGGACCATTGGTTTAGACATAGGTAAAAGTTTATTAAGCTAAACACTAGATTTATCTATTTTGCTGCATGTACATTATATTTTAATAAAAAAGAAAAAAACCCACTTTAATGTGAGGTGTGAATTCGGTGCTTCACTTCATAGCACTTACTGTGGCCCGTGGTCGTCCGTTCGTTCATGTGTGTGGTTCTGTGGCCGAGCAGAGCTGTGCCCGCCTTCTTCATGCTTGTGTTCCCATTGTCTGGCACCCAGCAGGCTCTCAGTGTGTACCTGCTGAGTGCACGCATGAGCGTTGGGTTCAAAGCAAGCTCTGGGCAAGGAGCTGTGGGAGGGCTCAGCAGGGAGCCTGTGGACTCTGGCCAGGAGCGGGGGTGCTTCACAGAGGAGGATGACAGGTGAGTCACACCCTGAAAGCTCTTGGGAATTTTCTCAGGCAGAGTAAAGGAGGAAGGGCAGGTAGGCAGAGGAGCCTGCACGTGCAAAGGCCCAGGGGCAGGAAGAGCAGGTTGTGCTGTGGTGGTAGGGGGTTGGCTGGGGGTGGCAGGAGGAAAGGAGCGTAGAAAGGTAGGCAGGGCCTTCTTTACTGACTTAAAGAGCTTAGTCCTTAGTCTATGGGAGCCGTGGGAGTTTTTTGAGAGAGGGCAGTCACAAAATCGGATCTACATTTTAGAAAGAACACCGGGTTTGTAGACTGGATCCCAGGGGATGGGCTGGGAGTTCTTCATGAAGTGTAGGAGGGGAAAGCCCAGCCTGGGCCAGGCTTCGAATACTGCCTGTTGCCCAGGGCACTCAGGGGAGACCTGAGGGGTCTGCCAGGCTGAGCCCGGGCCCTCAGGGCTGGCGAAGCAGCGCCACCTACTGGTCCCAGAGTGGGGCAGGTCAGCCCATGGCTCTCTGAATGAGGGGCAGTAAGGGACCTTTCTGGAGGACAAGCTTTCCCTCTGCTTTAAAGCCCGAGATCAGGATCTGGTGCAGATGTAGGGAGGGAAAATATTCCCTTGTGCCGAACAAACACAAATTAGTATTGGTAGGTTCTGCCAATTCTGTCTCTGTTTGGATCCTAGTCCCATTACATTCTGGAAGTGTGACCTTGAGAAAGTTGCTTAACTTCTCTGTTATGAGTCAGCACATGGACAACACTCAGAACAGTGCCTGGTGCGTGGTGAATACTCAAAGCTCTTATGATACCTGTTCTTATTTCCATCATCATCATCATTCAGGGCGTGGATGGAGGGATGCCTGGTGCATTTGCCTGGCTCAGGGGCCGGAGGGGGAGGGACAGCCGATGGCTCACGGGGCCGGAGAGCGGCCATGTGAGCAGGACAAGGGCCTGCACGCATGGCTGAGCAGTCAGACCCTCCTGACCGCAGCGGGGACGGCTGAAGGGCGTGGGCCGAGAGGAATGAGGTCAGATCTGCATTTTGCGAAACCAGCATCTGTGCACGCTTCCTGCTCTGGGCGCCTCGCACACGCACCCTCTCAGCGAGCCTCACGCCCTGCAGCCTAGTCTCTGTGGTGTCCTCATAAGTAATGCGTGCAAGTCCATATCGTGAGTTAGGGGCAGTGCCCAAAGCCCACAGTCCAGGGCCCCATCCACCCCATGGTGCTGAGGTTACAGGAGGCACCCATCCATAGCATCGGCTGCCCTTGGCAGGATGCGAGCTGCAAGACACTTGACCCTTTCCCTGCCCTGCACGTGTGCCCCAGGTGGGGCTTCCATAGCCTTTCTGCTCCCTTTCAGCCGGAGTGACATCTTGTTCCAGGAATCAGTGAAAAAACTGGCGTCTTTTATCTAAATTAAAGCTCCCTCCCTCTCCTAGCTGGGCCTGCTTCCGGCTGGGAGATCTGCAGCAGGAAGGCGGTGTGAGGGTGTGAGCGTGTGAATGAGTGCCTGTGAGTGTTGAGTGTGTGAAAGCACGTGAGCGTGTGTGCATGGGAGCACATGTGCGTGTGTGAGCATGAAAGCACGGGAGCCCGTAGGTGCACGCAGGAGGGTGTGTGTGTGACTGTGTGCGTGTGTGCTTATTATCACCTGTTTATTATCTATGTGTGCTCCTCGGACCCAGGCTCAGCAGCCCCGATGGCCCACCAGGCCACTTGCCATGGGGTGACGATGGGACACAGTTCCTCTGTCTGCCCTGCCCCCTCTGGCCTGCCGCAGAGCTTCCTGGGGAGCAGTCGAGGGTCTAAAGATCTGGGTCCACTGTCCTGGTCCCAGCGTGGACGTCTCTCCGTGCAGACTCCTGGCTTCTCACTCGAAATTTCCTGCCCCTGGCCGCACACAGCCTCATGCCCCGCTTAGATCTCCAGGGGGAAGCTGGTTTGCCAGAATGTTCATGAAACATGAGCGAGAGGACTTTTTTTTTTTTTTTTTTGGTAAAAGAGAAATTAGTGTAACAGGATTGTTCAGATCGAGTGCAGTATTTCTGAAATTCGAGACGTGACTCGTGTGTTTTCCTGTCAACGGGGCATCTTGAAACGTCACTCCTGCTGCTACCAATTAATTCATAATTTTCCCATTCCCCGATTAAGTTGCTTGGTGTCAGCAGATTCGGATTTTGTGCAGTCACTTAGCTTAGCTTTGCTCTCAGGAGGAAGATGTGCAAACGTGATCAAGCAGCGAAGTCATAATGATGCATGCAAATCGAATAATAAAGCCAAGTGTATCCTCCTTGTGAGATTGGGTCCTATGTTTATGTGTGTATGTGTGTATTGGGGTATGATAAACATTCCATGTTAAGTTAGTTTCAGGCGTATAGTATTTGATTTGATATTTATATGTATTGCAAAATGATCACCACAATACGTCTAGTTAGTATCTGTCACCACACACAGTTACAAAAATTGTTTTTCTTGTGATGAGCACTTGAAGATCTACTCTCTTAGCCATTTTTATATATGCCACTCAGTCTTATTAACTATAGTCCCATGCTGTACATCACATCCCAAGACCTTTACATTTTATTTTATATCTGGAAGTTTCTGCCTTTTGATCCCCCCTTCTCCCATTATGCCTGCCCCTACCTCCCGACGCTGGCAACCATCAGTCTATCTGTATCTATGACCTCGGTTGTTTTTTCCTTAGATGCCACATATAAGGGAGATCATCTAGTATTTGTCTTTCTCTGTCTGACTTATTTCACTTAGCATAATGCCCTCACGCTTCATCCATTGCTGTCGCAAATGGCAAGATTTCTTCCCTTTTTATGGCTCCGTAATAGTCCATTGTGTACATACATCACATTTTCTTATCCGTTCCTCTGTCGATGGACACTTAAGTTGTTTCCATGTGTTGGCTATTGTAAGTAAGGCTACGATGCCCATGGGGGCACAGATCTCTTTTTGAATTAGTGTTTTCGTTTTCTTTGGATCAGTCTCCAGAAGTGGAATTGCTGGATCAAATAGGAGTCCTATTTTTTCTTTTTTAAAAGATTTTTTATTTTTTATTAGAGAGAGAGTGCAAGCAGGGGGAGCGGCAGGTAGAGGGAGAGGGAGAAGCAGGCCTCCCGCCGAGCAGGGAGCCCGATGTGGGGCTCGATCCCAGGACCCTGGAATCATGACCTGGGCCGAAGGCAGCTGCTTAACCGACTGAGCCACCCAGGCGCCCCGGGAGTCCTATTTTTAATTTTTTGAGGAACTGCCGTACCATTTCCCACAGTGGCTGCACCAGTTTGCATTCCCTCCAACACTGCATGAGGTTTCCCCTTTGTCCACATTGTCGCCCACACCTGTTGTTTCTTGTGTTGTTGATGGTAGCCATTCAGACAGGTGTGAGGTGATAGCTCATGGTGGTGTGGTCACACATCTTATGTCTCGGAGTTTTGTAAAATAGTGTCAAGCTTTTTTCAAGAAAAATATCAAAACTGCAGGAGTGTGAAACCTGGCCCCGGAATCCACAGCAGTTTGCAGGGGAATAGGGTCCCACAGTGGGGCTGCCAGTTTTCATTGGTGTGTCTCGCTCATCTGTGAGGCTGTGATTTTCTCGAAGGCGGGACTCAGTTCTGTCAGTCTGTGACCACAGTATCCCATGTAGTTGGCGCTTCATAGGTGTTCATTGGATGAATCAGCCAAAGGAGATGATTGGGACAAAGTGTTAGAGTTCAGGAACTTTTGGGCGGTTGGAAGTTGAAGACGTCCTAACGATAATTTTCTTTTCCTTCTTCATCATCTTGGTCAACGTCTTAGCTCAGGCTGCCACAGCAAAATATCACAGACTGGGGGGTTTCAACAACAGAAGTGTGTTTTCTCAGATGGTCACCTTCTCACTGGGTCCTCACACGGCCTCTCCTCCGTGTGTGCATGAGCTCAGAGATCTCTTTCTCTGTCTTCCTCTTCTTATAAGGCCACCAGCTCTGACGGATTAGGGCCCCACCCTGATGACCTCATTAAACTGTAATTACCTCCTAAAGACCCTCTATGCAAATAGAGACACATGTTGGGGGGGGGGACAAGTCTTCAACATACGGATTCAGGGGACACAGTTCAATCCATGGCAGACATTTTCCCACCCTCGGTGGCCCTGCTTGGAAACTTGCCGGAAGGCAGAGCTGGGAGGGACTTTATAATGCATCCAGCACAGAGAGGGGTGGTCACTTGCCCAGGGCTCCACAGCCAGTGGGCACAGAGCCGGGATAACGGGCTCCACTACCCAGGTGGCTCCCAGAGCCCTGGGCTGCGTGCTCTCTGTAGAAGTGGGATGGGACTTGGGGTGGGTGGGCAGGTGGATGGGTGCTCACACTATCCTGATGCTGCCCTTGTGTTAGTTACAGAACTCTGATCAGACCCACATACAGAGTGTCCTACCGCACGGTGACGGCGCTGGAATGGAGATGCTGTCCTGGCTTCACCGGGAGCAACTGTGAGGAGGGTGAGTCTGCCGGGGTGTGGGGGGCCGGGGGTCAGGGGCCAAGGGCTGGGGCACAGGGTGCAGGGGGACGGGGCACCGGCAGGACTGGGCTGCGGAGTCTCTGGGGGTTGCTGCCACCTGCCACGGGCACGGAGGTGGGGACCCTGTGTGCATTGATTGGGTGGAGGAGAATCATGAGTCCTGGCCTGGGGGAGGGGATTCAGTTTACAGCCTCTCTCTTCCGCTCTGGATCGCACTCACCCGGGAAGGGGGGCAGGCAGAGAAGGCTCCCAGGGTCTCTGTTCGCCAGCCTTGGAGCCACGTCTGTTGTCCAATGAGGCACACGGATCTGGTGGGCAGCGGACTGATTGTCCTGCCCTTCTGTGTGGCTGGAGCCCTGGGGGAGGATGGGAGGACAGGGCCTAGAGCTGGGGCCTTCCTTCTGAGCCTCTGGACCCGGTCCCAGCCTGCCTCTGGAGCCCGGTGGGGCCAGGGAGGGCCCGAAGCAAATCCCAGCTGTGCTCATGGCCAGGGAAAGCAGGTCCTGCTGGACCAACAGATTTGCAGCCCATCTCGTTCCCAGGGCTAGCTGGTCGGCCCGGAGGCTCACGGGTCAGGGTTGTATTTGGAAACGGTAATTTTCCATGACATGGACGTTCTGATCAAATTATTTTCCTTCATCTTTTTTTCAATTACCTAACTTGCTGACTTTTGTTTTATGGATATGCTTTTATAAATTAGGTGATTATAAAGTTATAATAAGTTATAATATGTTAGGTATATTTTTTTATTGAAAACTGCCTAAAATGCTTTGGGTTACAAATAATAACAGGATAATTACAGAACAGTACAAATAATGATGATGCTTCAGTGGGCCTGTGGCCCAAAGCAGAGCTGAAGGAAGGGTCTGGAATGGAAAAGGGTCCAGTGGTGCCGCCCTTCCTGACTTAGAAGGCGCCTGATCCTGGGAGGCTTTTGCTCAGCGCTGGGAAAGCTTTGGGGGCACTTTTCTCAGCTCCCAGAGCCTCTGAGCTCCCCCCGACCCCACCCTTGCCTCAGCTGACTATAATCATGGGTTTTCATGTTTGCCCACCCCCCGCCTCCAACTACCACTCGCCACCCTGCAGATTGTTTCTTCTAAGGGTAACTGAGCCCAGCCCAAATAGGGCCCCTTCCTCCCTCCCCTGGAAACCACTGAGTGCTGAAGCATGGACGGTTTTTCTTCTCTCCTCATGTTCTCATTATTAAAGGAACAATCCAGTAAACGAAGTGTAAGTCTCAGATGTCTGAGTCATAAACCTCACGCAGATAGATAAAGGGCACATTGATCAAACTCATTGAGCGAGTGATTCAAAAGGGGGATTCGAGACACTGAGATAGATGCAGACTGGGGAGCCCAAGGCCGCCCTTAGGTCTGATAATTCGCTGGAAGAACCCCCAGAGCCAAAAAGCTATTGTGCTCACGCTTATGGTTTATTATGATGAAAGGGACGGATTCAAATCCTCCAAGGGAAGAAACCCATGAGACAGAGTCCAGGAGGGTTCCACACACACAGAGCTGCCAGGTGTCCCCTCCCAGCTGAGGCAGGGATAGCGATGAACTCCTCCCCTCACATGTAAAACACATGGACAAAAATGTGACCAGACGCTGGCAGGAGCCTCCCCCTGCGTCTCCCCCAGGAGCAATGGTTCCCTATTTGCTAATTCAGGACCACTGTGACTTTATAGATCACAGCTACCATGAATAAGCAGAGTGAATCGTGTCTAAGTATCTAGAACTATAGGGATGTATCTAGAAATGTTTTCTTCTTATTGCAAAAGTTAAGTCTGTGTTCGGTGTAGAAAAGGTGAAGACAGGCAGAATCACACCTCTCAAGGTTGACCTTGAGTCTCACTTGGGTGAAAAGCTTCCAGACCTTTTTTTCTGTGCTTTCATACGGTTGTACTATTTTGATAACTTTCTTTTTCAAATAAGTGACCATGAATGTTTCTCCATGTCAATAGATAGCTTTCGGTAGCATTATTTTTAGTGGCTGCAAAATTTGGGTATATACTTTATTAACTAAACCCCCACTGCAAGATATTTAAGTTGCTCCCAAGTTTTAAATTATTGATGACATTACTCCAGACATCCTTTTTTTTTTTCCTGACATAAAATTTACATACTCTGAGATGCACCTATCTTAAGTGTACACTTTGATGAGTTTTGATACGTGTACACGTTTCTATCACTTTCTGGAAAGTTCTCACCCCTTAGCAGCCACTGTCCTGATTTCTATCATCATAGATCAGTTTTACTTATTCTTGAACTTCATATAAATGGAACCATATAATATATACTCCTGTGCATGGTTTCTTTCAATTTTCAATAAATCTTTGAGATTTATTCATATTGTGATACTTATATCATCAGTACTTTACTCATTTTTATTGCTGGGTATCATTCCATTGAGTAAATAGCCACAATTTTATTTGTGCATTGTCCTGTGGATAAATCTTTGGGTCATTTCTGGTTTGGGGCTTTAAGAATAAAACTTCTGTGAACGTTCTTGTAATGTCTTTCTCTGGACATCTGTTTTTATTTCCCTTGGGTTAATCCCTACAAGTGGAATTGCTAGGCCAGGTTGTATGTTTAACTTTATAGGAAAGAGCCAAACTGTTTCCCAAAGTGGCTTTACCAGGTTACACTCCCACCAGCAAAGTATGTTCCAGTTGCTTCACATCGTTGCTAACATTTGGTGTTGTCAGTCTTTTTCATTTCAGCCAGTCTAGTGGGTGTGAAATGCTCTCTCATTGTGAGTTTAGTTTGAACTTCTCTGTTGACTAATGATATTGGACCTCTTTTTGTATGTCTATCTGACATACTTACCGGTCATTCTTACATCTTCTTTTGTAAATTGTCTGTTCAAGACTTTTGCTCATTTTTGATTGGGTTGTTTTACTTGATAAGAAGTAGCCAAATTGTATTCCAAAGAGGTTTTAATGTTTTACACAAGCAAGGTGTGTTCCAGTTGCTCCACATTCTTGCCAATATTTGGTGTGTTTTAATTTTAGCTGTGCTAGTGGGAATGAAATGAAATGCAATTTCTTCTTTTTTAAGACTACTTTGACCACTCTAGTTCCTTTGCATCTCCATAAAAACTTTGCACCACTTAACAGTGTCTGGAAAAAAAAAAAAAGTATGTTGTCATGGGGGGTAGGATTGTGATGAGTTTATAGACCAGTTTGGGGAGAATAGATATCTTAATAATGAGTCTTCTGATTCATGAACATGGTATAGCTCTCCATTTATTTAGGTATTTAATTTCAGCTTCCAGAGTAGAGGTATTGCTTATCTCTTATTAAATTTATTTCTAAGTATTTCTAAGTCTTTTAAGTTTTGGTGCTTTTTAAAAAATGGGATTGCCTTTTAAATTTTCATTTCGTAATTATTTTTCTGCTAGCATATAGAAATATATTTGATTTTTAATATTGACTTCATATGTAAAAACCATGCTAAATTCATTTATTAGTTCTAGTAGCTTATTTTTTCATTTCTTTGGATTTTCTACATAAACTGTTATGTCTTCTGTGAATAAAGACATGTTTGCTTCTTCCTTTCAACTATTAATGCATTTTATTTGATTTTTCTTGCTTTATTGGACTGGCTAGAACTTCTGATAAGATGTTTAACAGAAGTGGTGAGAACAGATATAATTGCCTTGTTTCTGATCATGGCAGTGGGGGGGAAGTTCTCCATTTCACTGTGAAGTATGTTGTTAGCAGTATATTTTCTCATATATGCCATGTATCAGATGAGGATAGTCACTTTTAGCCTGAGTTTGTTGAGATTACTCATCAGGAATGGTGCCGAATCTTGTCAAATGCTTTTTCTGCTTTTATACTGAGGTGATCATTTTTTTTAATCCTTTATTTTGTTAATGTGACAAATTACATTGACTTGGAATACTAAACCGACCCTTCATTCTTAGGAATAACATTATTATTACAGGGATCAACCACCTTTGGATGTATTATTAATTTTTCTATTTCTCTATTTGATATTTATCTGTAATTTTCTCTTCTTGTAATGTCTGCCAGTTTTTGGTGATGGGAGTTATGCTGTTCTCATAAAAAGAAATGGGAAAATTTCCCTCCTTCTCTATTTTCTAAAAGCATTTTTTTTTGTAAAGTTGGTATTACTTTTTCCTTAAATGTTTGATGGAATTCACAGTGAAACCATGCGGACCTGTAGTTTCTTTGTGAGGAAGTTTTTTTGTTTGTTTGTTTCTTTAGAGAGAGAGTGTGCATGCTCAAGCAGTGGGGACAGGTGAGATAGAGAATCCCAAGCAGGGCTCCACGCTGGGCATGGAGCCCGACACAGGGCTTGATCTCATGACCCTGAGATTACGCACGACCTGAGCCGAAATCAAGAGTCTGTGCTTAACTGACTGAGTTACCCAGGGACCCCTGTGGGGAAGATTTTGATAACAATTTTTTTTTTAACAGACATAAGGCTATCTGTGTGTTCTATTTCTTTTTTCTTTAAAGATTTATTTATTTTAGTGGGGGGAGGGGCAGAGGGAGAGGGACAGAGGGAATATCCAGCAGATTCCCTGCTGAGCCCAACACAGAGCCTGATCCATAACCCTGAGATGAGACCCTCAGCCAAAATCAAAAGTCAAATGCTTAACTGACTGAGCCACCCAGGTGCCCCGATGTTCTCTATATCTTAATTTAATAATTATCTGCGCATTTAAAAAATCAAATTTACTAAGGTTTAATTGATGTACAACTTATTATATACATATAATTTACACACACCAGATGTGTACAGATCAATAAATGTAGACTGAATGGGTAATTTTCTACGTAGTTCTTGTCTCTATGGTATTTTGTCCACCAAATTTGCCTCAGCCTTCCTGAACTCAGATTTCTGTCTCTTCAACTCAGAGAGATTGCCACGTTCTACTTAGCCTTCCCTCCGTGAGCTCTGGTCCAGAGGTGTCTCTAGGAATTGCCTTGTTTGTTCTGGACTGCCT